GCTTTACGTCCATCACTCTCTCTACCTGCGGAAACATTCGGAGGAGTGAGCAACAGAAACAGTCCCTGTGTCCTTCAAGTGCTTGGACAGAATGACTTCATAGGGTCATCCTTCAACCTCCACAGTTCATAGATGCTACACACACAGCACACAGTCACAGACACAGACAAAGACACACACACACACACACACACACACACACACCAGGGGAGCACCAGGGAGGAGGGGAGGGCAGGGGGGGAGGAGAGTGATAAGTACATAGATAAAAGAGACAAGATTCAAATAGTGTTAAATGCTTGACAAGTTGTCCTCTGCTCTCAGAGCTAGACCATCTGTGTAAAACAGGCCAACGTTTGCACACATACCAGGATGAACTGAAATCCACTGACTCGGGTGTGTCCAGGCTAGATCAGGCGAGTGGTAGGAAGTGGACTGAATGTCCCTAAAAACTGATGCAACAAGGGGAATCACAACTTGAGACGAGCCTGGCAGAGGTGGAAGGAGATGGCCCATCGGTCTGAACGCAGCACAGTCCTCTGCAAAACAGTCTATGTCTAAGAAGCATCAGGAGGGGATAGAGTGGGGACATCCCAGTGATGTCAGCTGAGTAGAGACAAAGTCAGTTATTCTGGAGGAGACATTGACAGGAAAGAGAAGACGGGCTGCCAGGCGTCAGCTTTGAACCAGGCAGAGAAAAGAGGCCGAAGCCTCCGGTCATGTGTAAGGGGCCGTGGACCCAAAACTATGCGGCTTAAAGCCTTTGTAAGCCTTTTAATGACCTTTAAGTTTGCAGCTTAAAGCCAGCTCTGTGAGCCTCCTGTAACCTGTAATTAGATGGTTTGACCACACGGAACTGCTAATTGCTTCTGTTCAAGAAAGGGCCTGGGGCTTTCCTGTTCCCTGTTCTGGGGAAGATCACAAGAGATTCTGGCGGATAAGAAGAATGTTCCGGCTCCTTCCTGTTATCCCCCCCCCCCCCGCCTGCCTAATTTCCTTGTTGCAGGGCTATATAAGCCCAGTCTGAACCCCAATACATGGTGGCATTCACATTGCATAGACGGACTCTGGTCCTCTTTCTTTTGCGCCGCTTGGTCTCCCTTCCTTCTCTCGCCCATGACTTTTTCAGGCAGCCCCCCTCCGGAACCCTGAATGACTGACCCGCGGCACGGGACAGTCATGGAGCTGACAGTTTTCAATGTTGGGAGCTGTGGTTTCCACTGGGAGCAATGGTGCAACTTATTCTGAACTGTCAACTTGTGCAGCTGAGAGTGACCTGGGACTGGAGTCTTCACTGAGGAATCTTCTAGAAGAGGTTCACCATTGAGCGGGTCTGGAGAGGAGAGATTTGATGATCTACATTGACCTGGGGAGACCCAACTCTTTTTGGCAATGCCAATCCCTAGGCTTGGGCCCCAGAATGGGTGTGAGGGGGAATGCTAGTGGAGCCCAAGCAAGCAAGCAGACTTAACTTCATGCATTTAGTGCTCTCTGCTCTTGAGCACAGCGAGGCTGTGACTAGCCACTTTGCATTTGTGCCTCCACATCACTGTGATGATGGACTGTGGCCTGGAAGCATAAGTCAAATTCACCACAATGGAAATGACACTAAACGGCTTTGTTCCAGACAATCACACTGGCGAAGCATGCCACACCAAATCCAGTAGATTCTGTGACCAGTTCCACAGACTGAGGGGATGACTTCAAATGGAGGATGTCTCCTAGAAACAGTTGTGGAACTCTCAGCCAGAGAAAAATATTGGGCTGTGATTCTCGTGGCAATTTGTTTGTTCTTCTATTCCTTTTTTTTTTTTCACATTAATGAAATGTTCCTATAAGCCTATGCTGACATTTTATAGAAAAGAAAGAGATAAGAAACGATCCCCTGAGATTGGGTCACTGGCCATGACCTCATCTCAGAAAAAAAAAAAAAAAAAACAGCGCTTTCCAAATCATTCACGTCATTCACATAAGTACAAATATTACTAACTTTCCCAATGTCAAAATTTCATATGGCTGTACATGTTTCATCCAGAGTGGGCTTAAGTGTCTGGTAAAGAAAGCTTTGAAAAAAAAAAAGAGTTAAAATACGGATTAAGTGAGGTGTGAAGACTCACCCCAGTGTGAGAGGTACGAGCTCTAAACTTCGTGAAAAGAGAGAGCTAGCTGAGCCCTGCCATGCATGTATTATTCCACTGCTACCTGCTCCTGACTGTAGATTAAAGGCAATCAGTTCTTTCAGATTTTTGTCACTGGCTCCACTAATACGATTCAATATGACTTGGGACTCAAAGCTAAATCAGCCCCTGCTCTCTTAAGTTGCTGTTGTCAGGGTATTTTATCATTGCAACATCATTTTTCCTTTTAAATATTTGTTTCATTATCAAAACATAATGAAAATAAAAAATAAAAATTGAAACTATTCATAAAAAAATGAGTTAAAATAGGGGCTGGAGAGATGGCTCAGAGGTCAAGAGCACTGAGCTCCAGGGGTCCTGAGTTCAATTCCCAGCAACCATATGGTGGCTCACAGCCATCTGTGATGAGATCTGGTGCCCTCTGCTGGCATGTAGGCAAAACACTGTGTATATAATAAATAAATAAATCTTTTAAAAAATAGTTAAAATAGCTCAATACTTCAAAAATGACAAAGAACTGATGTTCAACAATAACTGACCATAAAAAAATATTAATTTGATTTAGGAAATACGTGGTTAGCCTTGGATGATCCCATGTTAGTCAAGGATGGTCCTATGTTTTGACTAATCAAGGACAATTTTATGTTTTGATTAACCCTGTCACAAGTAGCAATAATGTCACATGTTTGGGTTTGTTTAACAAAAACATCCCCTGAGAAAATATCCTTTGAGAACTGCAAATTACACTCAGAGTCAAACAGCCTCTGTGTTTGTTTCCGTTTGTCACCGTCAAACACTTAACCACCTATTCTTCGGGGACACTCATCCCAGGGACTCCCATACCCGTCTGGGGTAGTCCGTGGCAAAGCAGGGACAACAGGTGGCTGGTGTGTGATGATTCTCTTATCCCACGATATCCTCAAGCTCTGACTCCAGATTCATGCCCTGAGGGACCAGAGACACACTGCTGCTGTCTCTCTCTCAATTTATGACCTCCAAGTATAATGCAAGAAGCCCCTGGCAAGGAGTTCTGGCAAAGAGCTGAGAGGTCTCTGTCAGTGCCTGCCATGTGTCAGATGACAACAAGAGGAAGTTTCAAATGCCCTGAGCATTCCTCCACCAACTACTAGTTATGAGAGCCAAGCTCCCGGGAGGCTCTTCTTGCTGCTCTCACACCACCATTCCACTGAGACAAGTCAGGCTTTACAGGGCTCAGCACACTCTGACTGTCCCGTTCAACTGTGGGGAGTCACTGAAGTGGCCCCTTTGTGCTTTGACCATAGCCACCCTGCCAGACACTAGATTCCCAAGCATTCTTCCTACCAGGTCATCTGTTCCCTGTGGACAACGGCTCTCACACCACCATTCCACTGGGAGGAGTCGTCAGCAGCACCCTGGCTGAGGCACAGGTGATGAGCACAGATCCCCAGATTTCTCACATTGAAGAAGTAACCAGTTGGTGCACCTGAAAAGACAGGACCTCTGCCCAGGTGGCTCTTTGTCAAGTCCCATCGTCAGAGGAATTCTAAGCCTAGGCATAGGAATGAATGACCCATGTCACCCTTGAGCAGTGGCCGGCCAGCAAAAAGAGAGGCCCACACCCCTGTTTACCTCCATACTAGAGATGGTAGTTGTGGTGGTGATGAGGGTGTTTGACTTACAGATAGTGCCCGGACAGAGAGCCACAGCCTGCCAGGCACTTCGTGCACCAGGAGCTACAAGGGAGAAGGGAAGGGATGGAAAGCCATGGGATGAGAAGGACTGAGAGTCCCAACTACCTTGAACATAAGCCAGCCCATATCTTCCTGAGGCCGTGACCCTTAGCAGATTCATCTCGAAGGAAGATGTGGGAACAAACAAAGGAAGATTTCCCATGAAGCCAGCCACAGGGGACAAAGTGCTCAGAAAGAGAGGACAGCAGTGAGGCTGCACAGACGTTTCGATGTTATGGGCCATTCCCATGTTTGTGGCTAAACAAGGCCCCCTCTATGGTCAGGCATAGCTGTTCAGAAAAGACAAGATTGGACCAGAGAACACTATGTCCTTCCAAGCTAATGGATGATCATGAGGTCTTCGCTGATGAGAGAAAAGTCTGATGTAGAAACAGACGCCCCCAATCTGGTGCGGTCCCCTAGGCATCAGAGAGGTCCAGCTACTCAATGCACTGTTTCTGCCGGCTGGCTTTCCTCTCTGAACCCACTCAACATCCCCTGTGGAGAAGGAGCTGCACCCATAGTTTACACACAGCAGGGGGCACATTAATGAGGTGGTGGGCAGCTCTACAAACTGATACTGAGTGTGCAAATGTTCAGGAGGAAGGGGTTCATACCCCTGGTGTTCAAAGACCCTCCCAGAGAGATCGGAAAGCTCTCTGCATGAGACATGGCACACAAGGGTCCCTCAGTGCCTGCCAGGGACATCAGGGGTCTATCCGTTCCTAGACCTACAGCTCTTTGGGGGCTGGGGCAGAGGGGACTTGGAGAGGGGTGAGACAGCTTCATGGGCCTTCCCGTCTTCCTCACCTGACCTTCCATTTCAAGTCTAGACACTGTCATTTCTGGTCACCTGCTCCCTATGGGCAACTGCTCCACATCCACACACTCCCCTCTGGCACCCACTCTCATCACAGACTCTTGCTGTTTACTGGTTGTTGAGTTGCATCAGATTCTCCTAGATACCTTCAAGCAGCAGGATTTCTCCCACAGGCGGTATGCTATGTATCAGGATTTAATCCAGATCGGGGCCCCACATACACGCACATTTCTGTTTTCTTCTGATTTGTCCAATGAAAAGACACAGCCAAAGACACAGAGAAAATAAAATGCAAAGTACTTACACACCCACTCATACCGGCCTGCCCATTCCTCATCGGGCTCTGCCTCCTGCCTCTTTCAAGGGAACCACTCTGTTGTTGAACACAGGTTGGGGCTGTGTCTTTGAACTCCCTGAGAAACAGCAACACCATCTTGACAGGCAAGCCCTGAGTCTCTTGCGCAGTCTCTTGAAGCACCCGATGTTCTGAAGGGAAGATGCTGCTTCCCTGTCAGAGTCTGGCCCAGGAGGCAGGGGCCTTTTCTCCTGTGGTATGCTGCTGCTGACACACCGGGCAGCAGCAGTTCTGGATAGGGGGGTATGGGTACAAGTGGCGATCTCCCTCTGGGGACAACATTGAGGCAGGGAGGCACTTCTGGTCAATTTCTGCCCTAACAGTCTCGGGATGTCAGGCAGGTGATGCTGTGAAGGACTACTGTGGAGGAAGCCAAAGATGGGTTCGCTGGCTCTTCGTTTGAGGCGCTGTACTGGTGGCGGAGTAGAAGTAGGGTCGGGGTCCTCAGGCTTGCCTGGAGTGCCGCAGCCAAGCTCCAGCCCCTTGCCTACCTGATCTTTGATGATAAGGTACGTCCCCATCATTTCGTCGTATTTTCTCTTTCGCAGGGACTTGATGATGGCATTGACGTCAAACCCAAGGTCCGACAGGATGTCTAGTATGTTTGGATCTGGGTAGGTGTTATCTGGGGTGTTGTCTTCACATCTCATGACCCACGGGTGTTGTCCGATGTCTTCAATGCAGGGCCTCTTCTCTGGGGCAACCGTGAGCATTTGGTGAATCAGGTTTTCAAGCTGCCCAGAGACGTGAGAAGGGACCTCATAGCTCCCTTGGACGATATTCCCCTCGGTGTCTTTCAGGGTGCTTCCTCTGAAGGGGTGCTGCCCAACGGTGATATAAAAGAGCACCACGCCCAGACTCCACACATCCGCCTTCTTCCCATCGTAGCCTTCTCTCAGGACCAGTTCGGGTGCATTGAAGATGTTAGTGCCGCATCTGCCCTGCAGCACAGTTCCAGCTCGACACCTTGTGGCAAGACCGAAGTCTGCCACCTTGACCTTCCCCTCTGCGTCAAGCAGGATGTTCTGGGGTTTCAAGTCCCTGTGTATGATGTCCCGATCATGGCAATACCTGATGGCCGACACCAGCTGACCAAATAGTGTCTGAGCCTTTTCCTCCTGCAGCCTGCCAACATTCTTGACAAGCTCTCTCAAGTTTCCTCCAGGGGCGTACTCTGTGATGATGTGTGTGTGCTTCTGGGTCACTATGATCTGAAAGAGCTGAATTATGTTCGGGTGTTGTAAGGATTGCAATATTGTCATCTCTGCCGTGATCATCCAGAGGTGCTGAGGTAGATTTTCTAAGGTCTTGATAGCCACCAGGGTGCGTGTGAAGCGATGCTGAGCCAGTTTTACACACCCGAATGTACCTCGGCCGATGGTATATTTAATTTTGTATTGCCTTCTCAGGCTGTCTTTTTGGGGGAGGATGGTCATGAGGCCAGGTGCTCACGGCACTCAAACAGATGGTGATGTAGTCTCAAGCGAACGCTTAGTACAATAAAGAGTCCCACAGGTCACACTGAAATCAGCTCCCTGGTCTGTTGGGACAGAACTGTAGCCAAGCCCATGGCCTTAAATACAGGACACTCATTCTCCCCTCACAGTGGCTCTTTGTGAGGTCAGAGGAAGAAATGGACCAATCTCAGCAGGCTATAGCCTACAGTGGCTGTCTCTAGGTTGGGCCACAGCCACCTCCCCTTCTTAGGAAAATGCCACTAGCCTACACCAGCTTCTGCTTTGGTGGATAGAAGAGATAGACACATATTTACTCATTTAGAAATTACACCCAGCACCGTGCTTCGGTGGCCTTTGTAGCTGGATCCTGAGTACCTCAAACCATCTCTGGTCTTTTGAGGATGAGGTACATTTTGAACAGGTGTCCCGGGTCAGGGAACTATATATGGAAATCCATTCCACCTTGCCTGGAGTTCAGAGAGCCCAAATCACTCCCATTGTCTCTAAGACATTAGCTTAATGGCTACAGGATGCCCTGGCCTTGGTGGTGAATGTCTCCTATCTAAAGAACAATAGAGTTGGTCCTAGGCAGGTTTACTCTCACCAGGAAGGCTAGGTGATAAGTGCAGCTCTGAAGAGCCTGAAGGCCAAGTAGTACAGAATGCAGCTACAGAATGTCTGTAGGCTTAAGAGAAGTAATTGTTATTTGCCCTTTATTCATGATAATAGAAGTCTTCTGCCATTGTCCCCACCTGTGGTTGATTACTTAAGATGGGGGATGAGTAAACTGAGGCTCTTTCATTGTGGACTGAACCTGCCTTCTTAACAGCTATTCTGTGTATCTGACTCTTAACTCTTTTTAGCTAGCCTGTCCCTCATCCACACTTCCCCACTCAGGAACAGACCCAGGGCTGCTCAGCTGATCCTGACCGAAGCCCCCAAAACACCAGTCCGTAACAGTCCTGCAGAGAAGCAAAGTCACCAGGGGATTCTGTCAAAGCCTTATTTACACTCTTCGATTCTTGGGTCCGGGAGGAATAAAGGCAGAACCATCTATGGCATGGGGAGCTCTTGGCCACTCTCTAGCCTGAACCTGTTAGTCCTAGTCCTGGTCCATTGTTTTGCTTCTAGGATGAATGAAAGGGCCACTTGCAGTGTGAATGCCCAGCAAGTAGGAGGAGGCCCCTGGGGTCTCCTGGACACTCCCCCTGAAAAGGCAGTGATGTTGGGGAGTGGGAGGCTTTAGGCTCCTCTCATGCCTTTTCACCTCAAGGAGTCTTGGGAAAACTCTGTGTCCACTAGCCTGATTATAGGTAGGAGATCTGGATTTCTCCCTCGTGATCCATGGTGTGTGCCTGGGACTAGCAGGACAGCTCCCAGAGCATAGCTCTGCCCTCTGGTGTGCTTCTGGTGCCATCTCCAGTCATGCCTACCTCGGAGTGAAAGACCCCCGGAAGCTCAGGCCCCCAGGATCTCAGTCCAGGACTGTGGCCACCCCAATCACCAGGCTGAGTCGAAAGCTTGATGCAAACTGCAAGAGACTTTATTATAGTTGTTTAAGAAGCTAACCCCATGTTAGCTCAGGCATTTTATCCACCTACTATGGCGGATAGGAACGACAGCTGGAAGAGTCTACATAGAGATCTTGTAGGGCAGCGGAAGGGGAGTGTCTAGGGGTACACACAGGCTCGATTGGTGTGCCTCCCGGGTTTGGGGGGTTGCCCCGTGTTGATTGGTTCACTGGTTGTTATGGCCCATAGGCCCTCCCAGGGTGGTTGCTATGCTCTGCGCATCATTGCTGTGCACTTGTCTGTAAAGCACACCCAGAGCCGTAAAGCATAGCCCCAACAGCTAACTTCTGATTGGGTCCTTGCCACAAGGCAGGCACCTAACCTCCTAGTGACCAAGGCAAGGTCGTGGCAAGCACGTGTTATTGTCATGGCTGCCAAAATGGGGGGCTGGTTCTTTCATTCCCCCATTTTTTCTGGGGTTTTTTTGTTTTTGTTTTTTTATTCCAATCATGGAATTGCTGTCTCTCCAGCATCCCCATCAGGGAATGAGAGATATTGCCATCACCACGCAAGGGAGTTCCTTCTGACTTAGCATTTTAACCAGGGAAAATGGGCGAAGTATTCTTTCCAAGCTACTTCCTACTGACTTTGGGACGAAGTTAGGGACCCAGCAGGGTGAAATGCTAGTCAAAAGCAAAAAAAAAAAAAAAAAAAAAAAAAAGGGCATTTAGGCAATGGGGAATCCATCAGGAGCTCTTGGCAAACTCTGTTGCAGAGACAGGGGTTGTCCACATCAGTTGGCCTGTTCACATCCATAGCAAGTCCAGGGCTCGCAGTCTACTTAGAACAGCCTGTAGTCAGCAACTGATATACTCAGATGTGTCTGCCAGAAGCAGAAACCTGTTTAAGACATGTTTAAACTAGGAACAGAACTTAAAACTTATTTTCTGAAGCCCACAGTGCTGAAAAAGAAGATATCTGGATATCTGTTCTAATGGCAGGAACATATTTTTAATTTTGAGTCCTAGCAAAAACTACAGATTTGGGCTAGAAGCATGTACATTTTTCTTCTGTCCAGAGAGCCAGGTATGGATTGGACAGAGGTGCCTTTGGCCTGATGTAAAGCCCTTTAAATTTATACTTAGATGACAACCAAAATAAACCTAAAAACCTTGAACTTGTGACTGAACAGTAGGTAGTCACTACTTTATCAGCTAACATGCTGACTATAGTCTTGTGGACCTTACTGTCTGATGCTGTCAAGCTGACAAACATTAATATTTCAGAGATCTGAGAAGGGTATATTTTATATAGTTTCTGATCAATTAAAAAGTGACAGAAGCCTGTTAGAAGCCAGTCCATATACAGTTAGCCATACCCAAGTATCTCCATTATCACTGGAGGCAGAAGTATCAAAGAACAGCAATCTTCACCAGGCCTATAAGGTGAGAGTTTTTTTCTCTCTGTGTAAGAGGGACATGGAAAAGACTGACCTTGTTTTGTCTAGGCAAAGGTACAATCAATTTTCCAGTGTCCAGCAGCTTTTTTTTAATGTTTGGGATTTTTTTAATGTTTTCATTAATGTTTGTACTTGTCATCATCATCCAGGAACAGGAACTGGGGTGCCTCATAATCTTCTTTGGAGACTTTGGGTCACTGTCAGGATCTGGCAATCTGTCTGGTATTATAAACTTTTAAAATGACATTTTTAAGTGCCATATTCTGCAGGTCTCTGAAGCATTAGAGGTTTGTCTGTTTAGTTACTTGCCTTAGGCACACATTAAGCACACAGGTGGCTAGGTAAGGGCTTATTTCTGTAATTAATTAATTCAGTCTGACTGTAACCAGTTTTAATTTATTTGAAACTTAGCACAGTTGAATTTATAACTGCATAGAATTAACTTATATTCCTTAAACAGTAGCTGCATGTACACATTTTAGCTGCTTGCGTAAACTTAACTTCTTTCTGAGACAGGGTTTCTCTGTGGCTTTGGAGGCTGTCCTGTAACTTGCTCTGTCGACCAGGCTGGCCTTGAACTCACAAAGATCCGCCTGCCTCTGCCTCCCGAGTGCTGGGATTAAAGGCGTGTGCCATCAACGCCATAACTTAACTTCTGAAAACATAAACTGTAACATCTTATAATAGATTAGCAGCTTTTATTAAACTTTACGTTGTCAGGTTTGCTTAAAAATAATTCTAAATTGAAGCTCTTTAAGTACAAACACTAATAAAAAGGACATTTTAAAAAATATAAACATTAAAAAACTGGTTTAAAAAAGAAATTTAAAATCCCTTAATGTCTTTCTGAAATATATAGAAGCATTAACATTTTAAATCTTAATTGAAAAATTTGTTTCAATTTCAATTGTACCTCTAATTTCCATGTGGTCATCTTTAGTCAAGTTGGCAGTTCAAGTATCTTTTTTCAACTTCAGCAAAATGGCTACCAGTCAGTCATGTGACCAGCTTGCCATGTGGCTGGCTACAAAAAGGCAGTGACCTGTACCATTTGTTTTAGCTGTATGCTTGTAACAGAATTTGGTTATTCCAGGAAACAGAAAATTTTAAAATAAGCATACATTATTTACTTGAGAAATAAACAGAACTTCTTAAGCAAAACTAACCTAATATGGTTAAAATTTTAACATGTTACCAATTTTTAAAATTTGCTATTCGTAGACATGAGAAACCATAACAAACAGCAGTTTACATTTCTCTGACTTTTAACCTTTCTTCTGACCTTTGACAATTTTCCTAGGACCTTCTACGACTTGCTTTAACCCTCTATAACTTTCTGTATACCTTTAGTTCATTCCTCTGATTTCCTTAGATATTCTTAGACAAATATTTCTTTCCCTTTCCCTCTTTATTATTTTAGTCTCTTATATGTTTCTCATTTTTCAGTCAACATAAAAACTTTTATCAAAGTCCTTTTTATAGTTTTTAGTAACTTTAAGGCCGTTTCTTTAGAACGTCCAGATCAGGCCAGTATGTGCTGGTATTCCAGACCCTCTGCCAATGCAGGGGTGGGAAAAAGACCCCCGAGGTTTCCCTGCATACCACGTGTGTGGAGCACAGAGAAGGCCGGGAAGCCAGGCAAACGGTGGCCTTGCAAGCCATGTGCTCAGGGCAGGGAAACTCCCGCCACAAGCCAGGACCCACGGCAGGATGGCATTTGGGGCAGAGAGAGCCCCACTTCGCATGCCTCACAGACAGGCAGGTGAGGATGGAAAGACAGACTCACCTACATCGGCCAGGCTCAGCTGTGAGGGCTGCAGCAATGGTTGGAGTTCAGAGCAGTACCTCAGGGGACTCTGCCACAGCACTCTAACCCATGGAACATGGCAGAAGAACTCCTGTCCTGCATGCCACATGCTCAGGGCATCAAGAAAAGACCCCTGACCCATGCATGCCATGTGCGTGGGCATAAAGCACAGAGACGCTTAACAAGCACACAGCACAAATGT